CCCCCCATTTACGAAATACGAGACCTTGCGAACTTCGTGGTCTCGGATCTTCGAGATTCTCGTTTCCGTGATCGAGGATTTTCGAATCCTTCGCCATTTGCATTGTAGGAAATTGCAAGCGTTTTAGAAATTTACGGTTCTCCTTTAATCTACGTAAGTTCATTTTATTGGTCTGGATTGGCGTTATCGATAGAATAAGTCTCGATAAATGTGGTTCCAAATGAATTTACGCAAACTCGTACGATCGAACGAACTGTGCAGAAAAAAGAAATATTCTATTGCTAAGAAAAGCTATTATTTAATTTACTTTCTTTTCAGTAATGGATATCTCCAGCAAAGATATATTTTCTTGGTAGTGTTTTTAAAATATACCCAACACAAATTTTAGAAAAGTTCACTATCATGTAAGAACATTTAAATACATATTTAGATATGAAATATAGTTCATCTAATATCTATATCTAAATAATCATAGAGTAATACGATTCATTGAATATTTAAACCAAGGAAATAATCAACTCTTTATTTCATATATATGTATCTTAAAAATTCCATATCCATTACTTAAAAAGATAAGAGAAATTGTGATTATATTTAATCTTATCTAGATATATCGAGAAAAGTTATATCTTTCCCAGTACTGTTGTCATAACACACTTAGAGGTTGTTACCTTCTGATGTGATATATTTTGTACTGTCTAAATTTATTTTTTTTTCTTTTCTTATAATTCAAAATTTCTCTTTGAATTGTAATCAAACACATTGTGCAATAATTTATATTTCTAAAGAGGAAAACATTTTTTCCCGTCAATTAATAATAATAATAATGATAATTTACCAGAATTCAGAATAAACATTTTGAATAAATCTAATGCCTATAATGAACACATGAGAGATATATATTCATATGAAATATTTGAAATAAATAGCACTTACTTGAATATAGTATGTATTTTTCTGTTTATAGTGAAAATAATATCAAGATAAATTGATCATTTTTAGCGTCAATACAGATCAGCGTGACAAGCGAGATTATTATAACGTAATAATCATTCGAGGGAACCTTGACGATCGGCAGACTGTTGAATTGCGTCTTAAATGATCATTAGAGAGAGAAGGTATCGCGGACCTGCTTATATAGGCTTTAGATTAAATCGGGAAAGATATCGCTCGAGAAATTAACGCGCTCGATCGATGTTGGGAGGCAGGAGGCTTCGATTAAAACCATTAATTTCAATCTCGGATTCCATTACAAAGTGCCGGCCGATCGCGGTAAGATCGAAGATCGCGCGCACGTGCCGAAACTGTGCGATTCGGGATGTACATCGCGGTGTACATAATTTCGGATTCTCGCATTAACGCCGTCGCGATAAGAAGTGCTCGAGTGCAGTGAAGTGAATCGAAATTCCAACTGAAATAAGTGATCGCGGAAGCCGTTACTAAAATTGCCACGGAGGATCGCGCTCGGTTGTCTGGCATTTTGACGAGGGATAAGCCGGGATCAAACATTCATATTCTAATTCCGTAATACCGCGGTATTAGATAGTAATTCACCGGTAATACACACAGTGATATAATGCTAAATTATTCGTAACATTCGTGGTGATTTAAAATAAGTTTCGCGAATGTCTCTGTTGTGCACAACTTAAATATCGTGTGACTTTTTCCTCTGTGAGTGTTTCAGAAGGTTTTGCAAACAAATTGCGCAGGGAGAAAAGATTATTTGAATTAAAGAGATGCTACAGTGGATGACGAACATAAAAAAGTGTCGATAATGTAGAGACGATCGTCAAAACGCCATGTAATTTCTATGAATGGTCCATATTAATAGACATTATTTAAAATTCGCTTCAAATGAGATACTCAGATTTGAATTCAGAGTTAGATAAGAGATTTTCTATTGAATCGCAACTATAGATGTCATATTTATCGTAACGTACTCTGAACAAAAATCTGAGTCTCTAAAACAAGTTTTAAGTAACAACTATTAATACGGGCCTAAGTCATGCAATGATTTTTAATTATTCAAAAATATTTAAGAAGTAGGTAATTTGTAGTTTATCTAATTCTACATATGAGTAATTATATTCTTGATTAGGGAATTTTGGGATATGGTGATAGAAAAGGTTAATCAGTCGTGTCTAATCAGACGTTCAAATAACTAAAAGTGAAGATATCAAAACTCTGTCAGGAATATCTATATTATTAAACAAAACAAAAAAAAAAAATATATATATATATATATTTATATATATATTATATATTTATATTTATATATTATATTATATTTATATATTATATTTATATTTATATATTATATTTATATATTATATATATATTTATATATATATTATATATTTATATTTATATATTATATATATATATATATATATATATATATATATATATATATATATATAATGATTTTAATCGAAGCCTCCTGTCTCCTAACATCGATATGTATAATAAAGTTACCGATGATCCTATTTTGTCGTTTAAGAGGTTAGAGAAAATGCTAAAAAAGGAACTTGAAAAGTTTATCGACAAAGTGTCCGTTGTATTAGTTATTGTAGAATTGACAATACTTTACACAATAAAAGTACGTGTAAAAATGAGTCGAGCACTGCTCGAAATATGAAAATGATAAAATATTTCAGAACTGACACTCCAAGTTGTTAGCATTAATATTTGCTTGATACGAAAGTTCTGCAGCTTGTGCACATCGAACTAGTTGATCGTGATCGTATTAGCGATGATCGTCTCTACGTTACCGATATTTTTGGAGTTGTTATCCACTTCAACATCCCCCTAAGGAGGTGCCATATTTGAAAACTTTACAGACACAATACTGACTTTTTCCTGCACAGTTTATATCGTATTGGTTACACAGAATTGCAAATATTTTTACGCAATGAAGGTATGTGCAAAAATAAATTGGGGCATTGCTCAATGTGTCATAAAAACGAAAAAAATTTCGAAATAGATATTCCGAGCTGCTACAGTCATAATAAATATTTTCCTGATACAAAAGCTCCGTGGCTTGTATCGAACTTGTCTTCGCTCTGCTCAGAAAAATTTCAAAGAACATTGCTGTACCTTCGCAACTTATTTTAGAAGCTTAAAAATATACGGAGGGTTTGCAGAAAAATGTCCATGTATGTGAGGTTATGTTTTCCGCTAAATGTAATAAAACAAAGTAGCGCATTATTAATTTATTACAAGACCTATATATAAAAGAAATACGTAAAAAATAGCGTGATCGTGTTAATGCTTATCTGACATGTCGTGACGATTGTCTCTACGTTATAGACATTTTCGGAGCTCGTCATCCACACTTTGACACCCCCTTAATATTACAATGGATGAACCGTACGCATTTTGATTGAACTAAACAGAATTTCTGATTCTTAGAACTGAATTTGCCCAACACAACGTCCAAAATCGGGACATACATAAGACATTTGAAAAATGTCTTAAAGACCTCTTAAAGACGTCTTACATTCCGACGTCTGAGAGACTTGGTCTCAATTTTAGACGTTGCGTTGTGTGGGTGAATAAGAATCAGAAATCTCGCCTCCTTCAAGCAGAACGCGTTTTGCAGGTCCATTACGTTGATTCAACCAGTCATTCTTCTCCGTGCGACCGACGCGAATGTTACAGTAGCAGCATCGCGCGGACAGAAGTGAATAACACGCCGAACGGACGACACACCGACAATTTCTGCCGTAACCTCGAGTCCGCGGGCGAAAATTGTCCGACGGCGATGCACGCGCGGAATTCCGCCGCATATTTCGCCCGCGAGACCGGTCGCAGCCGCGTCTCTCGCACGCGGTCGCACGCGATGTAATGTAGGTCGCCGCGGAAATTTTCGATTTGCACTATCGATCCGCCGTGTCGGATCGATGCCTCGGGATGCGCGCGGAGGTAGCGAAGGGAACGCAACGGACCGTCGCCGGCTCGTCAATGAGCTACGGCCGGCTGTGCCCATCCTGTGCACATCGCGCCGCAATTATTGTACGCCCGTGACTGTCCGTGCTCGTCCACGTTCTCGAGCACTTTTTGCGAGCCCCACCATTCGCATAAACACTACCGCTTGCCGCGCACTTTGCCGCACTTTTAGTCGCTAGTTAACCGTGCTATCGCTCGCGACGAGTCGTCGCAACCAGACGAGACGAGTTGGCTCTCCGTTGGCTCGCTCACGAAGGGGACCCGCGCGCTTACGCGTTATCGCGAAAGCCTGAATTACGCTAAAGCATAAAACGCGAGCGAGATGCAGCGGTCGCACCAATTGCGTCGACGTGCCCGAGCGTCGCGCGAACCGCTCGCCCCGTTTCCACGTCGAGGTGAATAAAAATCGGCGTGTTTGTCCGAGACCAACGAGATCAGCCAGCCAGCCAGCCAGCCAGCCAGTCGTCAGACACGTCAGACACGTATTCGCGACGCATGGAAAAGCGTCAGTGGAAAGATTCGCGGACGCGCAACCACCGCCGACCCTGAGAGTTGCGCGCTAACGTTCACGCTAACGAGGAAGACAAAGCTGCGCACCTCCGCGCAGTCTCGTCGTCCACGACCTGGACTCGAGTCCCCAGCGCGGAGCGGATCAGGTCGGATCAGATCGGACAAGCAGTCTAGTAAAAGCGGGCCAAGGTGTCAAAGACGTCAATCGTCGCAACGCATTAACGTTGTCGTCGTCGTCGTCGTCATCATCCCCGTGCCGTCCTTGTCGCGTGACGGACTCGTCACGAGACTCGAACCGCTAACGATCGGCCGCCACGTTAACGTGGCGGACGCGTGATCCCTGCGACCGTCGAAGTTCCTCCGTTCAGCGACCGCTCGCTCGTTCTCCTCCTTTCTTGGCTTTCCTCGATCACGTTCAATAGCGTGACTGAATCGGCTGGTGCGCGTCCAGCACGACGGATCAGTCAAGAACGTGTCCGAAGAGGAGCCGCACGCGACTTTATCATCGCGCTCCTTAGTCGCGCAGCAGGAGATCGCGGCGGCCAGTATCGTCGAGATTTGTCGAGAGATCGATAACGCGGCAGGTGAAAGATGGACATCGATATGGCCGGCAGGACAAACAGACCTAGCGAGGAACTGGCGAAGAGACGAGTGTCGATCAGCGATCAGATCATGGGTCACGATAATCCCGGCTTCGAGCATCATCGGCGCATCAGCGCGAGCTCGGAGCACAATTCCGATCAGAGCAGGCGGAAGTCGATCCTCCATCCACCACACGGCGGTGCTAGCCATTGCGACAGCGCGGAGAACATTCCGCAGTACAAGTTCGACCTGGAGAACGGCAGGATCAACGGTAACAGAAAGAAATCGGCCTACAGCCTGTCCAGCTCGATCCGCGACAAGATCGAGTATTCCGAGGAGCTCGAGAGGTGAGACAGCATTATCTCGATAAGATTCTCGCGAAGACTACCGAAGACTATCGATATCGCGAATACGATAGACGCGAGCCCAGAGTACTGTTGCAGATCGCCGCGGCTGTTTTCCGCTTTTGTGGAGGTAATCCAACGATCACTTGGGATTCTTGTCGGTTACGCGGTTACGTTATCGCGATAAGATTATCGTTGCATTCCAACATAGCAGAGAAGAAATAGTTTAATTAAATTAACCTGATAAGAAGCGAACTAAAGCGTTTTGATTGAAGGAAATAGAATTGCTCAATTCTAAGAAAGAAATTTAATTCAGAAGAGCCGAAATTGTATTTCCTTCGACCAAAACGCGTTTGATTCATTTATTATCAGATTAATTCAAACAAATTTTTGATCCGTGAATGAAATGCGATGTGTGAAAGACAATGATACGATCAGTCATCGAAAATTGTCTCGTTTGTATGTCCATTTAAGAAATCATTAATTGCACAGTCATTAAAAATTGTACAACTTGCTCGTTGTAGACTGGAGATAACGCAAGTTATATTGTAATAAATGAACAAGTGGAGCAAACAATGTCCTTTTGGACGATATTAGGCTGCTTCTCATCTTTTCTCATCTTTGAACTTCTTCGTATAGTTACTCGTTATTTAATGAAATCATTTTGCGAGATCGATAAAATGAACTTTCGATGAAGATCCCGTTCGCCGCACTTCCCACTTTCGTACGTAGAAAAGAATGTTAGGTTGAATTAACGTGACAATGAACGAACCGAACAAGTTTTGGTTGAAGGAAACAGAATTTCTGATTCTTAAAACCGAATAGGGAAATAGAATAGGTTCGGAATTTCGATTTCTTAAAACCGAGTTTGGTTAAGAATTTCTAGTTTTTAAAACAGCATTTGTAGAATTTCTTTTTAGACCTGTATCTGATTCAGAAACTTTGGTTCTTAAAATCAAATCTATTGATGCAGAATTCCTGGTTCTTAAAACTGTATCTGGTTATCTAGTATCGGAATATCTAGTTTTTAGAACCGAATTATGTTTAGAATTTCTGGTTCTGAGAATTGAATTTGATTTCGTATTTCTAGTTCGTAGAATCGAATTTGACTTAGCATTTTTGTTTTTTAGAATGGCTATTTGGCTCAAAATTTCTGATTCTCAGAATTTGATTAAGAATTTGTGGTTCTTAGAACCTCGAATTTGACACAAAATATCCGAACCTAATTTTTTTTAAATCAGATTTTCTGTTTTCTTTAGTCAAAATGCATTTGGTTTATTTATTATCACGTTAATTTAACCAAACTTTTTTTCGTATAACATTCATTGCTACGGTTACATCGAGAAATCGTAAAATTTATCACTTTCGGAAAATGCCACAACGAAACAAGTAACCTTTTCCCATCCGGCATCTCGATTTTCCTCCCGTCACGCTTTGCTACACTTGCATGGAGAAAAGAGATTGGTTGAATCATGACAGTACCACAACTCGTGTTTTGGTTGAAGGAAACAGTATTTCCGATTCTAGTGACTGAATACTGAATTCTTAAGAACTAAAAATTCTACTTCTTGGAACCAAAACGCGTTTAGTTGTTATTATTGTTAGTCACTATTGCAGATATATTATAATTTATTACAATTGTTATATAGGATGTCCTGTAACTCACAGAGTAGCCGCATTGTATAAGCAGATTAGATCAAACAGAATAAAAAATTCCTCTATCACATTTTGCGAACAAGCACGTAAAATGTTGAGTCATTAATCAAAGAAGTAAATGATTACGCGCCATACGGTGGATGAGCTGTAATGGCGATGTTTACCGCTGTATGCTTACATATTAGATTAAATTAAACAAGAAGGTCCTCTATACCATTTTTCAAATGACTGTGCAGATGTTTAGATATTAATCAAAGAAGATTGGTGTATTATTGTGCGCAACTGTACATCAATCTTCTTTAATTAATAACTAAACATGTATGTGATAATTTGGAAAATGATAGAGGTCTTTTTTATTCAGTTTACCTAATATAAGTATATAGCGGCAAATGTCGTCATCATAGCTCATCTGCCGTATGACGCGTGATTATTCGCGAATCTTTTTTGATTAATAATTCAAAATCTTACATGATTATTTGCAAAATGGTAGAGGAATTTCTGTTCTGTTTGACCTGATCTACCTGTGCCGCGGCTTCTTTGTGAGTACCACGGACAGCCTGTATTATTATTATTATTATATATCACAATTGTGTGTTATTGTTATTATTATTATTATCGCGATCATTCAAGCAATCTTCTTTCTGCGCGTGTGAAGTGCGATTCATTCCTGTCGCGGTTTTAATAAATACTTTGGACTAGTAAGGCCATTAAAATTATTTCTTTTAGTAATATTCGACACATTACGAGCAAGTCAACTACGTCGTACGTATACTTTTATGCCCATTATCGTATTCTTGATAGCGGCTATCTACAAAAACTTAAAGTGCTTCTTACGTTTATTTACGGCGCGGCGCTTACCGCTATTTCGACATACGATAGTTGTCGCGCGTTGTCGTTCGGATCGGTTTACAGATTCGCGGGGAGATCCCGAAACCACCGGTATTATTCACCGACAGAACAGCGCGCAGCGTACACGAGTTTCCTTCGGAATGTGCGTCCGGTAAATTAACGGCTAATTGCTTTGTCAATCGCGAGTTTCGCGTTTCGCTCGCGAACGCCTGTGATATAAATCACAACGTACGCCCGCCTTCTCCTCAATTTTCGCCACAAAACGGTCCATTCGTCAGCCTGAAATCCTGAATTCCAAAATGATTACCCGAGCGGAGACGCAATGCGACTTAATAGCGGCTGACGCGCCGCTATCATAAAACCGACCATCGCACGGCGCGATAAAGCTCGGGAACAAATACTGTATATTATTATCAATCGCCAGTATCTTATTGAAATCTGGGCCAGTTTGTCAACAAATATCTGTACAAATTATCTCGCCGATTAAACTAACGGATTACCGCAACTCGAGGCTCGCGCACTTCAGGCGTTAATCCGAAGCTCGCTCGTACTGGACGCACAATACTGGGCGATATGTAAAGCAGGCACGTAGAAAGAGATAGCGCTATTATTGTGCCGCGACACGGCAGCTCTCTGTAACGCAATCTTCGTGCGGGAATCTAATTTCGCGTGCATGGTGCATTAGGAAACGTAGCAACGTTTGAACGAGGAAACGCTGCACGGCCCGATCTCTCCGTTTTATTCACGAAAGTCTCGCTTTCCGCGGTGTCCCCCAGGTCCTGGCTGTACCTGTTCTGCGCGCGATGCCATGGTCGTGACGACACACCGTCGTGGGAGCCGCCGGGATGGAGAAGAGCCTGTCCGCAACCGTTCTGTCCGACGTACCGGAAGTTCGCGCGAGTTCTGTGCCTCTTTCTGCTCGGTCTACTGCTATGGGGAGTCGCCTACTCGGTGATCGGCAAGGACGCGGCACCAGGTGGCCCGCTCTTCGGCTTAGCCTCCCTGTGCATCGCCGCGCACTTCGGAGGCTGGCTGATCTCTCTGACCACCTTACCGGCCTTGATCGGCATGCTGATCACCGGCCTGATTCTGCAGAATGCGGGGCTCGTCCGAATCGGCGGAGAGTACTCAGTGGTGGTCTCTAATCTACGGTGAGTCTTTCTCCGATCTCTCGAGAGATGTTTTATTTCGTGCTCGTTAGAATACGGCCAGTGTGTTTTCATTGAAATGCTACACGGAAAGAGAAGTTTGGTGGAATTAAGAGGATGCCGGCACAATGCGGCTTCGTATGTTGTACTATTTTTCTATTTGGTCGCGTAGAACTGCAAATACTTTCGGCGATAAAACTTTTGTTACGATCGAGAGACAATCTTTCCCTACATTTTCATGCTGAGTACGATTTTGTAAATCATATATTCTTTTCCTCTAATAATTGCAATGTAAATATGCAGCATTGTTGCAAAGCTGTTACCAGCGCGCGTTTTCAAGCAGTTTCAGAGTAGATCAGCAACATGTAAAACAGATATGTCCATGCAACTTAAAAAACGCTTTATTGTTTAAAATTATTTTCTAACAAATATGATTTACTATTGCTGACTCTTAAAAAAAAACAATGTAGGTTATAATGATTTTGGATTTTTAAAATTTATATTAATGTAATATGTGGTTATTCAGGGTTAGGGTAACGATTTTTTACATTATACTAAATTACACATTTGTCATAACGAGTTGACGTGCGTAATATCGGGTACAATCCACTTGATACTGCAAATGCTTGGAGCGCCATAATACGAATCATAATTGTTCTTTACGCGCTCCAAAACGTTTGTAATTACAAATAAATCCTATTCCCCGTATAGCATTTCGCACTAATTAACCTTATTTGCGGACGTACATCACCTACCCATTTTTTCAGTTTTAATCATTTTATGAATGGAAATTTACTTTTATTACACAAAGTGATAATATCACACAGCTGCTGAAAACTTTATTCCAACTAATAAATCCAAATTATTTTAATTTATTCATTAGTGACGGAGAATGTTAACAAGAAATTTCGAAACGCTCGCTAATTTATCCGACTGCCCTCAAATCAGAATTTCCTCTTTTTTGGCTACAAGATTTTTCCGATTTTAATAAAGCCCAGGAAAAAGTAGCTATATTCTAGAAGAAACATTTTGTGATTCTGTTTCCGTCGTTCCTTTCACGATAAATATATAAATAAAGTGTCTTGCACCCCTAATGCAAACGTAATTCGGCCTCCCTTATAGAGTATCCGGCAATTTGTTATGCAACAGGCATGTACAGGCAGAACTTATCACCCTGAACACAAAATTGCTCTATCATTTCACAATCACGTAAAATTTTGAATTATTAATCAAAGGAGATTAGCGAACAATCATAGAAGGCTATGATAGAACTATGATAATGATGCCTGCCATTGTGTACATTAGATCAAACTGAAGAAAAAATCCTGTACTATTTTGCAAATGACTACGTTGATATTGAGTTATTAATTAAAGAGGATTGATACATGATTGTGCGCACGATAATATATTTCTACTGGATAAAATCGATATATAAGATGGAAAAATAGAACGTTTCTACTGAAAATCAATAAATATTCGTTAGTTATCGGTAAAATACTTCTTCACTCTTATCAACCTTTATCTCTGATTTAGAAACTATCTCCGAAATATTTTCTCTAATTCTCTTTAAAAGAACGGGGTTCTCACGGAACGATCATTCGTTTTCCATGGAGAAGACGGATATTCGCGAGGCCGCAATAAAATAACTATTTTTCTATCGGTTTAATTTGAAACTCGGGTAACAGAGAAATGGCAGCGCGTGGATAAGCGAGGGGATGTTAATTTATTATTGAATCCGCGAGCTATCTTTAAAAATTTACACTTGCCTGAATTCTCACGAGTCCTCATATACGTCGAATAATTCCACGTATATTAAATGATTACGGAAATTAATTAATTACTTTCTGGCCATCGGAAGCCCTCTAAAGGTTTATCGAAATAACGTGGAAAATGTCATGCCGACCCGCAGGGAGTTAATAACGTAATTTTCGTCTCGAACTCTCGAAAGATAAAGGGTGAAATTTTCAATAAAGGCCGCGGTAACGATTACCCGAAAGATGATATTTTTGCAGAGGCGAAATGGTGATCGGGTAACGATCCTTTTTGACGCAATATCACGCAGCTTAATTGGATGAGATAAAAACGCGAGATGAAAAAAAGTGGAAACCTCGAAAATTCACCATCGTACTCGTCGATTACAAACGTAATTTTTAGTAGAATCGCGTATTACCATGTTATTTTGACGAATTCCGCAGTATTTCCGCAATCCGTCGGATTTTTGTTATTGATACGTTCAGTAATTTATCGTTGAAGAATTCGTCTTTTAACAAAAGTGTGCAATTTCCCCGCGACAACACTTCACGAGATCTCGTTCCGAGAAGCATTACAGATTAAACGACTGATGAGGTCACACGAGCTGATAAACGAAGAAAGTACAAAAAGAAGGACGGTTTAACGCTCTCAGAAGACCGATTTCTTATATAAACTCGAGGTTAATCCGAATTACTACTTCGTCGACTGACGGTACTCATCGCCGGCGGTCGTTATTTCCACTCACGTGTCATTATTGGAAAGTACCAGCGACGACGATGACGATGACGACGACGACGACGACCACGACGTTGACTCGAAGGTCTCTCGAAAGTCTCCGTGGTAACACAATCGACTGGTCGCGATCGCGAAGAAACTGTTTTTTCTTTTTTAAGGTCGAGGTCTTATGACGACGAATCGTCGCAGACACGCACGATGGCTCTACGCGCAGCATGATAAGTGCGTTTCAACGGTAATCAAATTCTACCTGCATCCTCGTTAACAAACGCCTCTGACAAAAGAATCGCCCGAGATTCACCCAGTTTCCCACAATCGACCGACTTTTCATCGCGTGATGGTTCCTCGAGGTCTCGGGATTACTTCATTCGATGGAGGAACGTTCATTCGCGTCTTACACGAGCTCTGGCGAGCTTAACGTCTTCCGTGCCGGGCTAATTTCATATGATTTGTCGTCCATGTCGCAGTGGACCACCGGTAGCCCACGTAGTCGTATTATGGGCCAAAATTTGTCTTGTCAAATAGGGGAGAGTTTTATTGAAATCGTATCTCTTCAATTTCTCTATTATTCTTAAATATGAATAACATCTAACTGTATAAAGGAGAAATAAATGAGTAATGGAAAAATAGGAAATACAAACAAAAAATTATAAAAATATATTTAAATATATATAAAATAAAAAATACTTTTTCTATTTAAATAAGCCATAAAACTATTTTGTATGACTTATTTAAATACAAAGTCATACTAACACGAACAGACACAATAATGGACAGTTATTCTGTGATACTTTGATCGCTATCAAAAATTGTGTACTTTACAAATAAATTTCTCGAGAGAGAGAGATGGTCAATGAATTTGTAATTTTTTATATTTCTAAAAGTTTCTTTTATAATTTAGTTTTTTAAAACTGTTAGAATTTGGTCGCTGGAATTAAGAATGTGATATCAGAAGCAATTTTCGTATCTACGATAAACATAAATAGTGCCAACTTTGATTTAAATTCCCTCAGCTTTGATACAGTCAATTCTTTTTTAATCATATATGTGTGCAGATCGTGTTTCTATTGATACGCTGTCAAAATTTAAGAATGTCACGAAGGAAGTGAGCTTACGGACCGACCACGCTGAATTTCCACAAGTATCCTTGACGTAGAACGCACCCAATCTTCGCGCCTAGACGCGAAACAACGAAAAAGAGACATGCAGTATGAAAATCGCGCGCAGCTTGACCTTCAGCCTCCCAACACGCGTACTTGACCCGCTTTTTCGACCCGGACTTATCCGATGCCGTTACGATTGCCGAGAGAGAGAGAGAGAGAGAGAGAAAGAGAGAGAGAGGGAGAGAGAGAGACGAACCATTCCATTCCTGTGGCGATCCTCGGGGACTAATCTACCGTGGGATCAACTTCGCCTCCGTTTCGGGACAGATTCGCCGCAATCGCACCCGGATTGCGCTAGACCGTACCTTCCGATTGCTCAAATTTGCCTCATGACCCGCGCGGCCTACTAATGACGGCGACTGCCATGAGGCGCAGCTAGAATCGCTAATGTCTCGCGCGCGCGCTCGAGCCATCGGTCGTAGGAAATGCTGTGTGCCCGGCCTTGCTAGGAATTTAATCGACGCGAGGACGGCTTTATCGGTTATCGGGGCGAAATATCGTACATCTCTCTCTCTCTCTCTCTCTCTCTCTCTCCCTTTCTCTCTCTTTTCTCGCTCTCCCCGTTCTTCTCTCCATCCGACTAAAAGAGAAACGAAATATTTTATATTCAATTTACAGTAATGCACCGGCAGCGCGTCCGTCGCGTCCGGGGCGCATTATAAACTCCGGCAGAGATGCGAGAACCACGGCGAAAGATAGGAAAGAAGAAGGAGAGAGGCAACAACGGCTAGTTAAGCTCGTAAAAAATTCAAGCGACAGTTTTACGGCTCTCATAACGAGAGTTTTCGCTACTTCTCGCGCCGTGTGGGCACTCGTATCGATTTATTCGGCTGTTAAATATTGAGAGATCGTTGATAGGAGAACTATTCGATCGTTCATCTCAGATACCTCGCAGGCTCTCTTCCCGGTTACGCTCACACATAGGGACGTGTAACGCGTCATGATCGCGGCTTTCTCTCTGCTGTTGTATTATACATCTCCTAAGTTTATCTCCTCAAGTATTTACGCGCGATGCACATCTCGTACGCATGATACCTTGTACGAGTCCTCCTTGTATTATCGTAATTCGGTAAACACAATTCGTTTTACGTAACGCAATAAACACGCAAACTTTTTTCCGCCCGATGTCGCAATATCTCCGTAATCTATTGAGTTTTATTACGCGTGTGATTTATTGATAAGATCAGTCGATCTTCTAGCATAGGAATGTGGTTCTCCCGCAACAACACTTCACGTATTTTAAAAGACGCAGTTTAGATTAAAAAAGGAGACCACGTGATATTATGCACATTATATTTATGAAGAATCAATGACTCATTCAAAATAAAATCGGTTCCTACTGCCGTTAACTCA